CCTGGTTGTACTTTTGTTAGATGTACAACATATCCACTGAGCTAAACAGGCAGCGCTGACTGTTTAGCTCAGTGGATATGATGTACATCTAACAAAAAAAAGTCTGGGATACACACCTGAAAGTCATGGTACACATATCCAGTCGTCAAGGATGAAGACACATATCCCCACCTGTAAGCCGATGAACCGCTTGGGGCAGCGCTGTTTACAGGGATTACAACCCTGGGGGAAAANCCGGGTTCTCACCGGACCAGGCTCTCACATCACCAAGCGCGAAGCGCCGTGAGATATTCGGCGAGTCGCATGAAGGGTGCGCTGTTACCTGCTAAGGGTGTTCGGCATCTGTGCTTACTTCCTTGCGTATGGATGACAGCTGCGAATGACTTCATTTATTTTCTGTTTGAAGCACTTTGTAACTGCCTCGAGGGTGCGCGACGAATGTAACACAATCTGGTGCGATCATCCCCTTGGGGCGGAGTGAGCGTTCTCGACCCCGCACAACAGTCTCTACTCGATATCCACTAAGAACAACGTATTCGCCTGATTGAGAGCGTAGCATCTGATTGAGAGCGAGATTGCGCGATACGCTGTAGCCGGACTACCACTGAGAGGTGGAGCTTGCTGTGTAGCTTGAATTGAAGGGCTAGCCCGTAGCTTCAAGCCGCTACCCTGGTCATCCTGTGGGAGTCTCTCGTTGTGGAGCTACAGCGGGGAGCAGAAGCTACAGCAGAGCCCACCGCCCGACGCGATACCGCCCTGAAACAGTTTGAGCAGAAATAGCCAATCTGGGCAAATCTAGCAACTTGTCTAGCTCCTCGCTGCAGCATCCGATGACGATGACACGCATATGCTCGCGAAGCTGCTGATGAGACCTTCAATTTGCACCGCTTCTTGGAATAGCCCGTCCCCTACTTGCCAAGAAATGGCAAGAGGCGTCTGGACCCGAAATTTCAATTTTTTTGGCTCTCGCTCTCAATCAGATACTTCGCTCTCAATCAGGCGAATATGTTGTTTAAGCAAAACAGTCAGCGCTGACTGTTTAGCTCAGTGGATATGTTGCATATCTAACATCCTCTGAGTATGCTGACTTGTGGGAAGACCCTATAGAGAGGGAGTTCAGAGGTCTGATGGAGGCTGGTACCTTTGAGTAAGTAAATGTAGCAACCAGCTAGTGTCAAGGCCAAGGGGGTGTTTCACTGGAAGTCTGATGAGTATGGATGGCCGACTAGTGTGAAATCACGACTAATAGTAGCGAGAGGAGACATGCAGCGAGTACATGTAGATTGTGGAGAAACGTATGCACCGACTGTAGCGGTTTCTAGCGTTCGCTTGTTGGCAGCGATGACATGTGAGCAAAATCTTTCTCTTCGTCATTTTGACATCAAGCAAGCAATTGTCCAGTCGGATTTGGATGAGGACATTTCATGCGTCTGCCAGATGGATGTGGTAGATTGTCAGGCATGATGATAGTGAAGTTGAACAAGAGTCTGTATGGCCTTAAGCAGGCATCAAGGCAATGGCATTCACACTTGGCGAGGTGTTTGATTTTTTTGGGTTTTATTCAGTGCCTGGCGGATACGTGTGTGTTTCGCTTGATCGAGGAGGGAAGAGTGGTAGTGACTCTGGAAAAATGGTGTGACGGAGGAACGATGGCTTTGAAAGGAGTCTTCAAGGAACGACTTCTTCAGATCGTTTCGGTGGCTACACAGGTGGCCATATCTCGGCGAGTGCAGAGGTACAAGCTCGCATTGCGCGGGCGTCAAGACGCCGAAAACAGGCGAACAAGATCGACCTCGGACCAGTCAACGCCAATGATATGGGGATGGAGTGTAGACGCATCGTAGAACGCGTTTTCGTTTGAAGTTGACGTCTTGTTTGAGAGTAGATGTGACAGATTTGCGTAGAATAGGGTAAGATGTTATCATGAACGGAGATGAAAGGGCTTTTCCAACACGGAGATGTAGCATGGATCAAAGCATTTGTTGGATTTCAGCTTTTACAAGCGGACATCAACGCAGTAGTATTTTAGCAAGCTTACGAACGCATATAGGATACCATCAGGATTGTCATTGGTAAGTTGAAGAGGAGATACTTTTACGATGTAAATGACAGTAGAAATAAGTCCTACATATGTTGTTGTACTTCGTATTGGTTTAATATTCATGTAGAGTATGAGACATTAAGTGAAAGTTTTCTGAGGTACATCTGCAATTGTCGGAAGGCAAAAATAAATAAATAAATAGTACATACATGTGGATGACATATTCTCGATTGGAGAGGAGGAGAGGTGTGACCAATTTGGTAGGGACCTCAACACCATGGTACCGGTGAAGAATCTTGGTGACTTGAGGTGGTACTCTGGATATTTTCATGAGAGGGATTGGGATGCAGGGACTGTGAAGATCTCGCAGCAGACGTACGCTGAAGAGTTGGGGATGGAGTTTGGGGTGGAGTACGGGAAGGAAGTTCCTTTTCCTGTAGGGTTGAAGCTTTCAGAGTTTGACCAGGATGAGGAAGTGGTATCATGGCCTTTTCGCGAGCTGATGGGATCACTGATGTGGCTGGCAACGCAAACGAGGCCAGATATCGCGAATGCAGTACGAGCGGTAGCACGGTACTGTGCTTCTCCCAAAGAAATTGATTGCAGAGCAGGTCTTGGTATTTTGGGGTATGTGGTAAGGACTAGTGACTTGGGGATTACATTCAGGAGGGGTAGTGTAGCAGGGTTGAGCATGGAGGTGTTCGCAGACGCAGATTATGCAAGCAAGGCTGCCGATAGGAGGTCTGTGTCAGGAGGCTTGGTGATGTGTGGGGGGGGATGTATTCCATGGTTTTCAAGGACGCAGAAGTGCGTTACGTTGAGCACGACAGAGGCGGAGTATGTCTCCCTTGCGGATGTGATGAAGGACGTGTTATTTCTGAGGCAGGTATGGCGTTGCATGTTGCCAGAAGCAGGTATGCCGTGTATTCCGGTGTTCGAGGATAACGAGGGGGCTATTCAATTGGCGCAGAACCCGATTAGCTAGAGTAACTCGAAGCACATCGACGTAAGGCACCACTGTATCAGGGAACTGGTAGGCAGGAAGGAGATTTCGATTTTTCACGTGGAATCAGCGTATCAACATGCTGACTTCCTCACGAAGGCACTTCACGTCGGAGATTTTGAGTTTCATCGTAATTTCGTGATGAGTGTGGGACAGGAACGGTAGATTTGGATATACTTGTATTTGATCAAAGAACTAGGGTGGCATTGTTTTACATTTTTGCGTATGGTCTTCTCAATCAATGGTGCTCAAGGATGGGGGGCAATTGGATCGCTATGATTATCGAAGACCTACAACTGGAATGATCGGGGATGGAAATATATTTCTAGCCCAGAAGGCTATTGTTGCAGATTTGAGTTGTGTTTTGGATAATTTCTTGTGTTTTGGAGTTACTGAAAGATCATGAAGACATGGCATAGTCACAAGCAGGGGGGCTGATAGATGTACTTGTAGCAATGCCAAGTGGTTGGTGCTGGATGTTCCCATGGCATGCGGTAGAGCCGAATTCCGGGTGACATGTATGTGTGTTACGCAGAATGGATTCCAGGGATGTACAAGGTACCCCTGTTGAATACGGCGTCGCCCCCTCAACGGGGCTTGTGTGTGTATGTGGATGCAACTAATCACAACAAGTTTTCTCCTCGGCGCAAGCTCGCCGAGTTGCCGATACCCTATCAACACACGTCTTGCGACCAGCTACCCCCAATTCGTATTATCCTCACAAGGACGCCAGTGGTGCCAACCCATGCCACTTCTGTACTGCAGATCGAAGAAGGAACCGCAAATCACTGTGCCATGGCCAATCCGACACTTTGGACTCGCACTGTCATAGTCTACAGTGCCAGTGAGCTTCGTTGCACAAAACTATCGAAGCCGAAATCAAACCATTCGACGATGTACATACATTATGGTCAGCGCTGACTGCTGTCGTCTAGTATTGTTTTGATTTCGGCTTCAACGCTGTGAGTCGTGGGATTCGTGAGCACAGGCACTTTCACTTCGGAGGGGGGCGACTCGCCTTCCCAGCGCTAGTATCCGACCAATCTATATTTCGCTTTACGTCACTCGCCTACTCACATCCTGCAGAATGTTCTACTGTAGTACCTCAGACGAGCGCGTCCTTCCGTCAGCCATTCTCTGGCCGGGAGTATCCAGGGTATTAGAAAGAATGCCACTTCAAAGTGCCCCATCCAGCTTGGCTCTCGAAACCACGACCAAAACTTGCTAAAGGGTGAAATCACACCAACCATTAGTCTAGTCAGCGCACACTAGCAATGTAATATATATGTAATCATTTGGTGTCGACGGCTTCCATTCAGCGTACCATGCGCACAATATTTGTCCTGTCGGATGCAGCACACGGCAATAGTTGTGCGGTGACTCACCTCGCGGGCTTGTTGCTGATATGGCTCGCCGTCCATATCCCGCAGCTGGAATGCCTTCAGGGGTCTTCCGTTCGTGTTGTTTTCCGGTCGAACCGACTCTGGGTTGAGTCGAGTGGAAGCTGTCTTGGTCCAACTTCGCCCAGGCAACGTGAATAATCATGTACTCACAACGGCAACGATTCGAATCGCGCCGAATTTGTAGCGGTGACAGGGAATACCAAACAAAATGGGGGTTAGCAAGCGGCATGAAACAGAGCGGCTTGCTAAGTGGGCACACGCCAAAGCATTCACTTTCGAAGGGGCGTTGAATAGGGAGATGACCCTTGAAAGCCTACACTATGCCAAACACTTTGTTCCTGCGCCAACTCCTACGACAACACAGCTAGCTATCGTCTACACGAAAATTATATGTCGCCATCGTCAAGCGACCACCGCCGTTGGTTGTGGTTGGTGCAAGTTCCAACACGATAAACATGGCCGAGTCAGCCGTACTGAACTGAAGTCCAAACGCTTTAGGCCATCGGAGAAGCAGAGGGCCCGTGCTCGGCCAGCGGTTTGCCGGGATATATATGTGGAATCCGGAAGCAGTAAGTGATTCAGGGATTGTCGGCGTTGCGGGTGGCTGAAAAATTGCTGGCGATTCGGCGATTCGGGTTGCATTCGACTATGATTTCCCTTGGGTTGGCTACATCACATTCGTCCGCAGATGAACACATTTATTCCGGCGTGATGCAGTCTCACCGCGAGAAGAAAAGTCGTACCGACCACCGAGATCGATTCGCTATTTTTCGCCGCCCAACCTACAGTCGTATGTGCATCAAAACACTTCTTCTCGAATTGCATATAGGAACCGTTGAATGTACTGTAGGTTGGTTCAGCTGAAGACGGTCATTGGGTGCGGGCGAAACTACACAGCATGGAACGTTTCACTTTTGTCGAACTGCATTTCAACGAAACTGCCACAAATATGCTCGTTAGGCAAAGGGCGGGCATGAGGGAGAAACTCCACAGGATCATTTTGTTTCGAATGGTCCGACCGCATTCCATTGAACGTGCGGATTGTACGCCAGACAGGACAAGGATTGCATGCAGGCAAGGCAAGGCGCACATCATCGAAAGGTTTCATGTTTATCGGAGCTGCATTTCATTCATTGACCGTGTGGCAAGCATGTGCATGTTCGGTCAGCAAATGACGGGCATTGTAGGCGGGTGAAACAACGCGGGTAGTTCAGCATTGGGTTCGTTTTGTGTGAAGACATGCATGGGACGAGAGACAAAATTATGATGCACAGGGATGTGGCCTACATCGATGTTGCTTCCGTAAATCGCACCTATCCTGTAAGAGTATGCCAAATCGATTTCAGGAACACCCGCGGCGAATGCCGGGAACCCGTACGTTTAGAATGAACATACAGCGCACCCATGCGCCACGGACGCTTGATGGGCTGTTCTCTCTCTCATCGTTCGTGAAGTTAAGACGACCATGACTTTCAAGACCGTTTGCATACGAATATCTACTGGGTCTGCACATGTGGGAGAAGCTCATGGGCAGAAGTAGATGGTTCTGTGCTGACCATGGCTAATGTGAATACGCGACACAATGTACCCTTTGCGATTCCGTTTGTGTGTTGTGTGCACAACACGATCATGGAAGTGCTGCGCTTGCGATGGAAATCCATACACTGTATGTAGTGAGACCAGAGGGAGACAAAGAGAACAGGTCAAGCGCATATCGCTCGAGGAGGAAGCTCACATCCAAATATGATTCACTCTGTCACGTAAAGATACAACGCTGTGCTGACTCGGGGAGAACTGTAAAGCAATCGATCATTTTCATCCTCTGTTCCGCTTCCTCCATCGGTTCGAATAATCAATCAATCCTGCAGTTCATCCTTCAATCCAATCCGTCCATGAATATATACATCCGCCCATGCAATCATTGGACGATACATCGTTCCGTCAATCCTCATCCACCCATCATGCGCACACCCGTTTGATCGATTTCCGTTCTCTCCAAAGTCACGTGTAACTCTAGAGTCAGCAAGAGTCGTACCTCCCAACGTTCTCGAGTCAATTGCACATGGGCACCTCTGATCATTGCGAACGTGTTTCAGGCACGCTTCCTGCCTCTCGGATGGCATCCGTTTCGTGCAGACGCCCCCCTCTTCCTCTACCGCACGTCGTCCGTGATCCTCCACCACTCTCCTCTGCCTACAGCAACGAATACGGCGTGTAGCTATGTGTTGGAGTAGACCACATCCTGCTTGTACAGCGGTATTGTCGTGCGTGAAAATGACCCATCTGGTGGTCAAACTATCACCGATGGTATGCATCTCCGCCCGCAGTTCCTTCTGGCGATTGCAGTTGTTTACCGTCGCCTCGGCGACCGACGTCTGTGCGGCATCGGAGTTATTGGCATCGACCGCCAGTCGCCTGGTGGGCAAGCAGTTGGCCACGCGAGAGGTGGGCAGTGCATGGTGGCGCCACGATCGCTGAACAGCCGCAGATGTATATACTACGCGCGGGGGCGTCCATCAGAGTTCAAGCTCCCGTCTTCCGCTTGACAATATTCCTCACCTCACTACACTATGTCCACGAGCTCGTGTAAAACCCACGGGAAGGACAACCTGATTTCT